GTAACAGAACCATACAAATCTGCATCCTAACCAGTAAGCAAATTTATTAATTTAATCACTGCCACTAATTTATTGGTGTGTCTGTATTTTTATGCAATCACAGTCACCATACCACTTTTATAATTTAGCATGCTTTTTTTCCCTCTATTATACAGTCCATTTTTTATTTGAAAGCTATCAAATTAACATGTAATTAATTATAAGGAAAGTGTGCAGACATGCAGCCTTCTGTTCTCATCATATTTATTATTTTTAAGAGAGAGCTGCCCACCTGTGCTACATTTCTTTTGCCAGCAGAATGTAAACCACTGTGAAGTGATACACAGGTCAGTGCCACCAAAACTGTCACTACAAATGGCAGCATGTGGTGGGAAGAAAAAAAGAAGAAAAAAATATTAGAGTGCTTGCCTCTGCGCTTGCCCAATATGAGGCTTGCTATATGTGTGCTTCATGCTGCCCTCCTACAAGCTTAGTTTTATCCTCTAAGTAGAGAATCCAACACTCAGTAGCGAGCTGCTGTCAAACAAAACTGCTCACCTTTGCCCACCCTAAGGAACAATTTGAAGAACTCGCGTATGAGCTGCATTTAGAATGGAACTTTGTTTATGCCATGAGAAGTCAAAAGAAAATAAAACTTCTTAAATAAATGCATGCCTGTAATAGCTATTAAGTATTTTAAAGCATCATTCCTAAGTAATTGCTAATTACATTACTTTATTACCAGGCACAATTAAATATGTGCTCAAAGTCATCCAGCTATTTGCCGTTTCAAGGAAAGCACTTGAATCAAAAGGATTTCCTAAATGGAGTCATTCAAGTGTTTTATTTCTCCAACTTCAATAATTATTTTAGATGTGAATAATTGGACATTGAATAACCAGTTAGAAGTAATTTCCATAAATTGTTTGTGCTTTACATAAAACAAATAAAATGTTTTATATGGTGCTTTTGTTCTCTCTTTGAGACATCTTGCACTAACCAGTTTTGCACCAATGGCACTGTACTTTATTGGTAGTTTGCTCTAGGAGGACTTGTGTATTTCTATTTTCAAACTGACCATTCACACAAACCAACACAGACATACACTGATTCTTACCTTTAGTGAAATTAAAAGGAACTGTATAAAGGACTTCCAGATAAACCTGAAGGTGAGAATCTCACACACTGTAAGGTAAGCATGTAAAAGTAAGGGCTGGTTCCACTAGGCATCATTTAGAGACAGTGAAGGGAACTGAGTGACTCAAGTGCAGTTTGTCCTCTCTGATGACTTCCTAAAAATGATAAATAAGAGAAATAAATATAGGTAAAATGTGAACCTCCAACTTCCAACACCTAAAGCTGAATGACCATTTAGCTGAATCACAGGCATTTGCTGTTCCAGTCAAAGCTGACAGTCATGATCCTCAAAATTCATGCCTAAGTATGACCTGTCAGTGGACAAACCTGTCTTCACTACATTTCCAAGCTCTTGCATTTCCAGAGTTGAGCTGAGTTGGCATCTCAGCCAAAATCCTGATGCCAGCACGTTTCACACTCCTTGGCCTTCTTCACTAGGCAATCCCAGAAAGTACTGCGTTTGCCCAAGTTTAAGCAGTTCAGATACAGATGATGTTTCTGCCTTTTTGATTCAGGTCATCAGTGGGATGTGGAAAACCAAGGTTGGAGTCCCTGCTCTCATAAATACTGATTGATGCAACATGGGAAAGGTCTGACCAAAAAAGCAGAAAAACCTTTCCTATTTACTTTATGCCCCATCTTTTCATAGAGAGACAGACTCCTATCAAATTCTTCCCCAAATCAAGTAGAAGAGAGGCATGAACTTGTACCTTTAGAAGAAGAAAGCATTTACATGAGAAAAAAAATTCTCATCCCTCATGTCTAAGGCAAGGAGAAACTTCATCAGTACTTAGCCTTCTGAGGATGCCTCTGCATTCCTGCCTTAGTATATGAGACTGTGAAGCATCTCAGAGAGGCCCAGTTGGCCTGGTTTCAAAATGTCATAGATACCTGCCTTTTGGGTACTTCTCTCTCCCATTACACTATGTAGATAGCCAGTCTGTCTAATTCAGGGCCAGAGGTTCTATTACAGGAAGACATGACGGAATTGGGCAAAGCAACACTAAACTCTAATTGCCACCATTAATGCAATGCTCTTGTCCTCTGTGTCTGCATCTCTGGCCAAGACAAGCTCAGGTCATAGGCAGAGATCTATTGGAGCCTCTACACATGCTAAGAATGGACAAAAGGTGTATGGTCCAAAAGCCAGTAAAATTGGATATTTGTGATTAATCAGCTTTGAGCTGGACTGAAGAAGTCTTATTTGCTGGCAAGGAAGTAAAAAAACTCAACAAAATAAAAATAAATAAACACCCCCTCCCCTTCCAGAAATGACTATTTCAGGGTTCAAAAGCTGACTGCTAACAACTGAATGAATGAAGGGATCATGGCTGACAGGAATAGGCTCTTCTTACTGCCCAGGTACTATAAAAGCTGCAGGAAGTTGAAGGACAGGTGATCTCCTGGGGAAGCTTGTGTTGTGTATGTGGTCTCTGACAAAGCATCAAATGGTAGCATGGTTAAGTGAATCTGCTCCAGTATCCCTCAGTGACTGACAGGACAGACTGTTTCAGACAGAAAGAGGAAAACCGATTGCATACATGCATGCAAACACAAAGACAACAAGGTGGTATATAGTTTTCATTCTCCTTTAGAGTTCTTCAGCTGATGTGTGCTGAGTGAGAGATATTACTAAAAATAAAGGGAGCTATTTGTATTTGACTTGAACTCTGCTGCAAAATCTCCTGCCTGGATCCCAGCTCACCAAATGCCACCCTTAAACTGCTGCCATGCAATGAGCTGGCTACAGCCACCACCATTACAAGTCTCCAGCTCCACTTTGGCAATACAACTCTCTGGAGTATATTTTATCTAACATCTTATTGCCTTCATATACCTAACCTTTAATTCTCATAGTATTTCAATCAGATCTGAGAGTACTAATGATAAAAATGTCTTTAAATTATATCATTACTTATTGTTGCATTACTACTAGGCAGGTATTCCCCCCCCCCAAAAAAAACAAACAACAACAACAACAACAACAAAACAAACAAACAAAAAACCCAAAACCCGAACAAACAAACAAAAAAATCCACACTCAAACTTAAATAAATAAAATCAAAGGCTCCTGGTTTCTGCTTTGATCTGTCCCTGTTCTGCTGCTCTGGACATTTAAACACCCTACCCTGAATATAGCGAGCTGAACAGCAAGTGAAGCACCTGGTAAGAACAGCCTGGAAACTCTGACAAGAGAGGGCAGGTCCATAGTGGGCAAGATGGACTGGACCATTTGTCCCCACTGAGGCGCGGACAAGGTGTGTGGTGTGCATCCAGTGAATTGAATATCAGCCCCAGGAAATCTCCTGGCTTAGGGGCAGAGCAAGGTTTGTGTAATACTTCAGTCCCACATTCAAGCCTCTGAAAAGGTAGCAAGCAGGGATCCTCTCAAAATCCCTGCTGGGGAGGATGTTGTTAATGCCATCTGGGTGACAGCCTTGCTTCAAACTGCACCGACTGACGTGCCAAGTTTAATTATCATCACGGATGTTTCCTGTGCGGAATATACAGGATTGTCCGTGCCACTATCTGTTCCCAGGGTCACAGTCTCCAGCCACTCGCTACCTAAAGAACCTCCTTCAGCTGCGGTTAAAAATAGCGAGCCCTGAAGCGTAGCAGCAGTGGAAGAGAGATTAGCCTCTCCTGAACAATTTTACTTCCAAGCAGATGTTGGCGGCGGGATTAGCATTTAGGCCAGGCTTCTCCCGATTTATTGTCGCTCTTCGCTTTTCCCTTACCCACTTGGTAACACGCACGTTGGAATAACCGCCCCCGGCCCCGCTCGGTCCCTGCTACCCCGGCGCCGCTCCGACGGGCCCCGAGCGCAGCCACCTCCCCTCCGCCGCCCGGTACGGCGGGGCCCGCAGTGCTCTTCCGCCCGCCCGGGGCGAAGCACAGGACGGCGGCGGCGACGGAGGGGCCGCGCCCGGAGGAGCCGGTGGGGCGGCCGGGGCCGCCAGGGCGGGCGCCGCCAGGTGCGAAGGGGCCCCACGGGCCGGGCCGGGCCGGACCCCGCTGTGCCGGCGGCGGTGCCGGCGCTTCCCACGCCCCGGGGGTGGCTGCGGGCTCGGCGCTGGCGAAGGGCTCACGCCGAAGCCGGGCGAGCGCGACTCGATTACAGGCTACCTGGAGGAGGCGGCCAGGCCGAGGCGGGACACTTTCCCCGGTCACGTTTTTGGGGTGGCCCGCCCGAGCTGCAGCAGCAGTGCCCAGAGGCAGCTCCTGCGGCGGCGCCGGCTCCCCGGCTGCGCTGCGGGCAGCGAATAAAGCCGGCCCGCGTAGGAAGAGATTAGCTCGGGGTTTACCCTTCACCCGCGTGGGGATCAGCCGAGGACAGAGCCCAACCGCCTCCCTAAAAATGGGATTCCCGGAACGCCCTAATGAAAAGCCGGGCCACGATCATCGCGGGGAAATTAGGGGGGACACGGCCGGCCCCCGCGGGGTCTGACTTAGGGAGCGAAAACATGGAGGGAGAGAAAAGAAAAAGTGCCATTTGTTCCGTCGGCTGCGGCGGCCACCCTGCGGCTGGTGCTGGCGGAGGGAAAGGGGAGCAGCGGGCCGCGCCCCCTCACCTGCCCCCGCCGCCCCCGCCCGCCGCGCCGCGGCTGCCGCTTGTTTGCACTCGGCTTATCCGGAGCGGAAATTCCTTTCCGTTTTTGTGAATGACAAACTCATTAACGATTCATCAACACAACCTGTTCCAGCCGGCCCGTCGCCGCGGCAACAGCCCCTTCCGCGCGCCCCCATTGGCTGCGCCGGAGAATGTATCCATTGAGCGGGGCCGCGGTTGTGCCCATTGAGAGCCGAGCGCTGCGCGGGGCCGCGGCCGAGGGGCTTGCGGGCGGCAGCCGGCGAGGCAGGCGAGGGGAGGGGAGGGAGGGGAGCTGAGCTGAGCAAGGGAAGGGGCACTGGCACCGCCGTGGTGTTTCCGTGCTGGACCGGGGAGCCTCTCTCGGCGGCACGTTAATTGGATTTCATTCACTCGTGGCGGAGGAAAAGCCCAAGGGCTCGGGCTGCAGGGGCGATTAGGCAGGTTCATTCAGGGATTCATTGATTGAAAAAAGAGGAGACAGGGCAGGCTGGCTGCGCGCACGCAAGCGCGCACACACACACACACACATACACACACACACACATACACACACTCACACACACGCCGGGGCCAGCGGTGCTTCTCCCTCCCCGTGGCTCCACCGCCGCCCGGCGCGGGGGAGGCGACGAGGGGGGGGCTGCGTGATTCATTTTCCTGGGGCGGAGGGAGATAAGTTGTGCAGAGTTGGTGGGGTGCAGCCCGCCCGCCGAGCCAGCCGCATGCCTCTGTGAGAGAGAGGGGCGCTTCCAGAGCACGCTCCGCTCCCCCCGTCCTTCCTCATGCTAGATACGTTCAGACCCGTCCCTTTCGCATCGGAAATGGCGATTAGTAAATCGGTGGCGTGGCTGAACGAGCAGCTGGAGATGGGCAACGACCGGCTACTGCTGATGGACTGTCGGCCGCAGGAGTTGTACGAGTCGTCCCATATCGAGTCGGCCATCAACGTGGCCATTCCTGGCATCATGCTGCGGCGGCTGCAGAAGGGCAACCTGCCCCTGCGGTCCCTCGTCGCCAGCAGCGAGGAGGATCGGGAGCGCTTCGCCCGCCGGTGTGGCACCGACACGGTAGTACTGTACGACGAGCACAGCCGCGACTGGAACGAGAACACGGGCGGCGAGTCCGTGCTGGGGCTGCTCCTCAAGCGCCTCAAAGATGAAGGCTGCAAGGCATTTTATCTGGAAGGTGAGAGAGGCCGCCCAGGGTTGGGGGAGAGATCTCTGCCTAGGGCCCGGGGCTGTAGGGGACGGGGACCGAGCCCCAAGGCTCTCTGCCCGGGGAAGAGAGCGGGGGATGAGTCTGCAGCGTCCTCTGGGCAGTGCACTGACGTGCCAGGAGGGCACCGATCTGTATAGGGGGCTTTTCCGTCTGCTTCATTTCCCCCCTCCCTCCCCCCGCCATCCCTGTACTCGCTTCGGCTTAGGGAGACCTCGAGATCTGGAATCGCTATGGCAGCGTGGGGAAGACAGGGCTAACGGGGATCCCAGCATGAGTCTGGCAGAAGGAATTGCCGAGACATTTCTTCAGAGGTCCCCGCAGGGCAAAGCGGTACAGAGCTTTAATCTCGAATGTGCTGAGCCCTCGGCCGCAGCGGAGGATTTTCTTAGCCTTTCCTTTAAGTTAGTCTGTTTGCGTGAGCGTGACATTTTTTTTTCTTCTTTTTCCCGGAGCTCGAGAGGGTGCGAAACAGACGTCCCTTTGCAGACAGGGCTGTACCAGGGAAGTAAGTCGACTTACCGTCTTATATATTTACTGCATTTTTTTTCCTCTTTGCTTTTTATTCCAGGTGGTTTTAGCAAGTTCCAGGCCGAGTTCGCCTTGCACTGCGAAACTAACCTAGACAGTTCGTGTAGCAGCAGCTCTCCTCCTTTGCCAGTCCTGGGCTTGGGAGGCCTCCGAATCAGCTCCGATTCATCATCAGACGTTGAATCTGACATTGACAGAGACCCCAATAGTGCCACCGACTCCGATGGCAGCCCTCTCTCCAACAACCAGCCTTCCTTCCCGGTGGAAATTTTACCCTACCTCTATTTAGGCTGTGCCAAGGACTCCACTAATCTGGACGTTTTAGAAGAGTTCGGCATTAAGTACATCTTGAATGTTACCCCTAACCTGCCCAATCTCTTCGAAAATGCCGGCGAATTCAAGTACAAACAGATTCCGATCTCTGACCACTGGAGCCAAAATCTGTCTCAGTTCTTTCCTGAGGCCATCTCCTTTATAGGTGAGACCTGGTTATTTGCTAACAGCTGTACGTCAGGAGGCAGAATTTGGGGAGATTTCGGGCGAGAAGCAGTAGCAGTGTTTATGGCAGTCTCTGGAGGATGCCCCCTTTTCTGTTTTTAAAGCTGGCTTAAGTTGAGGGGCGGTTGGGGATTGTTTGTGGGGTTTTTGAGGAGCCCCGGTGAATTGTAAGCGACTTTTGCAGGTTGCCAAAGCATACCTGGTTTTTCTGCCTGTGGATTTCCTCCCTGAGCCGTTTGTGGTAGACCTGGAGACTGAGCATTTGAAGGATGAGGGATCTTAAATCATTTGCTGGCTGGGTGGGGGGCAAATGAGCCTAGGGTTGAAGGCTTATTTGTCCTTTTTTGTTGGTTTTATTTTTATTGGGTTTTTTGTTTGTTTGTTTTTTTGTTTCTTCTTGAGGTTACTGAAGAGCAATATAACAAAAAGAAACTATCTGGAAAGCTAACTTTAGCTTTTAAATGCAAATTATTCATAAACGATATCCCTGGCAAGTGTATAGTCAGAGCTTTAATTAAATCTCGTGGTAATAATAATATACCCTTTGGGCCCTGTGCCTCGATCAGCCAGCCCTCAGACATCACCCATCAGCTCTGGAAACCCGTCCCCTTGGGCCTAAAGAGTTCTGGTTGAAATGTGCACTCTCCTTAGTTTCGGGGAGGAGTAAAATCAACCCATCGGGGTGCGGTGGAGTGGGCATCGCATCTGTTGGGAAGCTGTGCTGTAATCCGGTTGAATGATACCGGTAATAGTGGAGAATGTAGGTAATCTGAGCCCAGCAGGAAGAAATGTGGGCTGGAAGCCACAAAGAAACTAATCTCCAGGCATTGTAATGCATTTCCTATTACAAAGGAACCCATTTTCAACCAATGTTGACATCCTGTTCCTCCTAATGGGTTGTCCCCTGTGACTTCCCTCATTCTTTTAAAATGCCTGAATACCTCCATTGTTAGCTGCACAACAGTTGGAGAATAATTTAATAGACCTTTGCAGTCTGCTGGTCTGTATAAAAGCCATTCAGTGACATATTGCAGGATTTCCATGCTGAGGCAAGGGGACTGTAAGAATGTAAAGGCAAATCTGCGGGCAAAAGCGTGTCTTTTAAAACTGACATTAAAACAGTGTCATGCAGCGTGTCCTGCTCCCTTTGTCTCATTCTTAGCTTTCTCAGCTCTTGGATTCGGGTACTAAGGGGAGTGGATTCTCCTCTTGTCCTGGTTTTAAGCCACTAAAGTTAACTCTTGAGTTGCACTGCTGACTACTGAGATCAGCGTCGTCCTTACTTTCTACTTGATACTAATCTCATTTGTGCTGAGAGATCAGTTACCAAGCCCCTGTGTTACATGTCCTTCTCTGCCTCTGTCTCTGTACAGATGAAGCACGGGGGAAGAACTGTGGAGTCCTGGTGCATTGCTTAGCAGGGATCAGCCGCTCGGTCACAGTGACGGTGGCCTACCTCATGCAGAAGTTGAACTTGTCCATGAATGATGCCTATGATATTGTCAAGATGAAGAAGTCCAACATTTCACCCAACTTCAACTTCATGGGCCAGCTGCTGGACTTTGAGAGGACTCTGGGACTGAGCAGCCCCTGTGACAATAGAGTGCCGAACCAGCAGCTGTACTTCACCACCCCTTCCAACCAGAACGTCTTCCAAGTGGATTCCCTGCAATCCACGTGAGCTCCTACCACCTCCCTTCTCCTGTCCATTTCATGGGATCACTCCTCAATGATTTCTCTTTGGCAGTGATAAAGGAATGCAGCTTTCTCTTTTTCTGGCCTCTGCTATCAAAAGCAGCTGCAAGGCAAGGAAAGGTTACACAGTATGGAATCGGCTATTGCAAAGGGAGGGAATGTGGCAAGCTCTCTGGGCAGGACCACAGAGAGCAGGCAGCAGGTGGGCAGTGTGCTCATCCCTGCTTGTGCAGTGGCTTGGGTCTGAGAACTTCCAGGGGGATAGGGTGAGGCTGGACAGGCTGGGCACGGGTTCTCTGGAGACTGGAACTGTCCTTCTACCCTCTCTGCTCTCAGATCTGTGACATACATCTATGTCTTCAGTGAAGACTGGTTATTTTTGTTTGTTTGTTTTAATTTAGAGGAGCCAAAGAAAGAGATTTCAGCTTAGTGTATTTGGAGTACTTGTTTGCTGGGAGTTTGGTAGTATTCTACTTGATCAGTGTAAATATTTAACCTTAAATCAATTTGCGTTTTTTTTTTTTTTTTTTTTTTTTTTTTTTTTTTTTTTTTTTTTTTTTTTTTTTTTTTTTTTTTTTTTTTTTTTTTTTTTTTTTTTTTTTTTTTTTTTTTTTTTTTTTTTTTTTTTTTTTTTTTAAATTCACATGTATTCAAAAAATCAATTCAAGGGACACCTGTGTTTTTGTTCTTTCCATAAATCCTGCTTTATTTGTTGTTGTTGTTGGGGTTTTTTTAATGGCAAAGAATATATTTGCAGCATGCTGGATTTTATTCTTCAATTGAAGCAAGCTTTCCATGAGGGAGAAATGGCAATGGTGAGAAGTTTGCAAATCATGTTTTGTGAGCAAGTAGAGTCTCTTCTTTCATATATCTTTTCCTTGTGGTGATTTTTTTTTCTCATGCTTTTGATGTAGGTTCCACATGATACATATATATATATTTTTAAATTAAATTAATTTTTTGCCTTACCTTTTGTAAATAGATCATCTGGGAGGAGGTTTGTCTTTGAATGCAAAAGATTTTTGATCACTTTTTAAGACTTTCAGATGTGCTAAACAGTGCATTACCTCTGTACAAATTCTTCAGGGAGCTTCACCTCAAATGCAATATTTTGCGTCTTTATCTTTTTTTTTTAAATAAAACTGGAAGTATGTGCGAACATTTGTACCTGCGTGTACGCACAGTGAACCTGCACATGGTTGCCAATAAGGGAGAGTCTAATTCACAGTGTAAAAGTTTTAAGATGGAATTTATTATAAGAATGTAAAACCTTAAATTATTAATAAATAAATAACTATTTTTGGCTATGGAGAACCTGGCTGGTTTATTCCCCCTTTCGCCTCTGTGTGGATGTGATTAATTGCATATACACGTATGGTTATGTTTAAAGGTAATGATTGCTTTCAATAGCTTTTGTACAACCTCTAAGACAATAAAGCCTCGATTACCCCTTTGGTCCACTGGTGCCTGAAGGAATAAAGAGTGCATGTGCTGGATTCTTCTCTTGCTTTTATGAAGGGAATACTTTTGAAGGCCTTAACATAAATTGCAAAATAGCCCAGCATCTCTTTGCAATCCTGAGGATGCACCTGACTCTGGACCATGAGGGTTTTTTCTCATTATTATTATTATTATTATTATTATTATTATTATTATTATTATTATTTTTATTTCTAAGAATAAGGAGCTGCTGTTTTCTGGGTTTGTTTATGACTTTTGGTCACTCTACTACAAATGCCAGGAGATGGGATTGTGCTTTCCTTAGCTGTCTGGTAGAACTCATTTCACAGAGATTCATCAACAAGTCTGCAGCCTGTAAATTATTTTTCTGTTACCATTCAGCTATCTTGCAACTTAATGAAGGCATGGAGGAAAAGTCTCTGTATAGCCTTATTTCCTTTTTGGACCCTTCAAGTAGTTCTGTCTGCAGAAGGAAAAAGAGGGATTATAGCAATTGCAAAGCTTCCTGCTGCAACTTATAGTCATTAATATCCTTCCTGATAAAAAGTGATCCAAAGTAAGGTGGTGCCAAAATCTGTGCAGTACCATGGTGAGGGGCTGATGCTACAGCTGGGGCTGTCGGCTGAGGTTCTGCAGAATTCCTGGCAGCCAGAGCACATTTCAAGTAATTTTAGAAACTGCAAGTGTGTGAAATGAAATGCAAACAAGACATGGGAAAAAAGTGAGTCAGTGTCTCATGCAGTAGTGGCCTAGATTGAGTGCATAAACTGTGAAAGTAGAAGTGGGTTGCAGTTGAACTTGGCTTGTGCTAATCCAGTTTTGAACGGTTTCCGCTCTTGGCATTCCCTATGCTGCTCTGTTCAAAGTGGAGATTTGCAAGCAGCTCTAGCAATTTCCTGTCCAGCTGCAGCTCAAGTGACTCCCTTTTTTTTTTTTTTTTTTTTTTTTTTTTTTTTTTTTTTTTTTTTTTTTTTTTTTTTTTTTTTTTTTTTTTTTTTTTTTTTTTTTTTTTTTTTTTTTTTTTTTTTTTTTTTTTTTTTTTTTTTTTTTTTTTTTTTTTTTTTTTTTTTTTTTTTTTTTTTAATATGGTCTGTGGATAATTTTAGCCAGTTTCCTCTTTGTGGATTATTAATCTGCTTTCCCTGTAGAACCTACATAGCTGTGTCCCTACTGTTCTGCTGAAGTTAACAGATGGCCTCCCCGCCACTTCCTCTCGTTTCGCTGTGGGTTTGTTGTCAGGCCACTTCTGAAATTAATAGTGTTTTCTGGCCGGCTGCCACAGGCCATTACCACAAAGGGGAAGTAACACATCTGAATAGCAGGAAGCCGGGCAGGGTCACAGCGTGAACTGAACCTGTTGAGTGCAATCAGGCCTCTCCCGTTTGGCAAGTGAAGGGCTCCTCTTCCCTCCCTCTTTTTAGCACGCCTTGAACAGAGAAAGGGCTGACACCAAATGCCTCAGCTGTTTGCACCGGGCAAATATTTCCGGCTGCAGGGGTTGTGAATATTAATTGTGACTAGGTGCCCGTTAAGGTGAGAGCGTAAAGAGCAGTGAGCGGCTATGGAGCCCAAGGGAGGAGAGCCTTGGCTCTCTTTGCAAACTGCTTTGAAAAGTTAATGCTCAGAAGGGCTTCCTGCTTCCTTCCTGCTGCACCAAATGACTAACACCAAATGGGTACTTCTGCAATTCATCATTTTTCACGACAAGCAAGCACAGAAAACCAGCTTTGCTCAGATGCGCACACATAGAGCAGTCAGGCTGAAAACTGTTTCCAGATTTTTCCTTTAGCAAGGCCTGAACCAGGGCTGTTTCAGCCCGTTGGCTGAGCTTGAACCAGGACTAGGCGAGGACAACTTTGGTCATAGGCAACCCCGAAACAGAATTGGAGCCAACTCACAACGTGGTTTAACCTCTGGTTTTGCTGGAGGTGTTCACAGTCACGTGCTGGCTCTGAGTTACAAGTGGTTTGGAGGGAAAAGTGGTGAGGGCTCTCACCAGCAAAGTTCACTGTCCCCACACAGGCTCCTAAGTACCTCTGTCCCAACATAGTGCAGGGAATAGTTCATCCTACATAAGAACTTATCAGCTTTTCTGAGGCTGGGCTCTGCTTGCTCCTGCAGTGTGTGTCCTGTTCCTCTGTCCTGGCCATACCACCTCTGCCTCTGCAGCACTTGTTTTAAAATAATTCGCTTCCTCTCTCCCCTGTCTCATTTCAGCCTTGCTGGGATGGGGCAGAGGTCTCAGTCTTCTGGAGGGTTTGGCAACTATTGCAGTTCCTCAGCTGGTGAAGTAATTTGTAAAGGAAAGAATAAATCCTTCATGCCTGTAGGGACGGGCCTGATGAGTATAGGGGGGAAGAAAATATTCCCCCTTTGCAGCTAACAAAATTCCAACTTGCTTCATATTATAATGTGGTAATGTGTGGTATGGAAATCTTTCAGAAGCTATGGAAATACTAGGAAAGAAAACTCCCTTAGGAGTGAACAGGGCTTTCTCACATGACCCATCTCTACCTTAATTACAAAGGATGAAATTGTGTCCTGTGGCATCCATGTCCCCTTTGCTCTGCTAAGGCGAAGGTTTCCTAAAGAAAATGTTTGGGTGCACACTAGATGCTAGCACTTTGCTTTTCAGTTTCTGTGCATTAATGACATGTAACTCATTGTGGTGGTTCCCCTTCTTGCATTCCTCTTTCCCACTCGCACCGTTTCAAATCACTCAATGGCCACCTTCAAAGTGTCTTCTAAGTCTTTCCAGGTTTTGTTGTTGTAGCCATAATTTTCTCTTTCCCCATAATTATTCTTGTGCTTTTTAATGCTGCTCTTCCCCTTATGCCTTGTATTCTTCCACTGACCTTTTTCCTAAGCTCCACAGTTCTGACTTCCCGTTCTTTTTCTTACCCTCCTTTCTCTGTTACTCTCTTGCTACTTTCCTCATGTTTCCTAAATCAACTCCTCTTTCTTCCAGCCTTAAGCCTTTCTGGTCCTCTTTGTTTTCACAGTGAAGAACAGTGAAGACTCAGTCAGTTATAGTGAGCTATAAGAAAGTTATATGAGAGGAAGAAGTAAGAAAATACTACTGCTGTCCTCTTTCCAGTTCCTAGCAGATGACCTTATTCCCCATCTCTCTTCCCTGTCTCGGTGTAGATCTGGCTCCATGTGGCTTCCCTGAGTTCTCTCTGTAGCACCCAGGACTCTGCTGCTGCAAATAGGGAAGGCAGGTGTGAGGAAGCAGCCTTTCCTTTGGGCCCATCCAGTATCACAGGGCACTGACTCCCTCTTTGAAGAAAGGGGAGTGGTGAGGAAAGGGGTGAGATGGAAAATGTGTTGGACCAAGGCAGATCTTTTACCAAAACTGAAGCAGGGTTTAACAGTCATATGTCTGGAGGACATTTTTTCAGCTTCTCTGAATAGTTTATCCAAAAATTTTTCCCAGCTGAGAAGCGTGATGACACTTTATTCAGAACTCCAGGAAAAACAATTGCATGTGAACATTTAAAGAAAACTACAGCTGAAACCCTCTCTCCACACTGCTATAAATCACTGAAAGCTTTGCCTAAGTGAAGATGGTGGAACAAATTGCTAAACTCAGTTCAGTGCCCCCCTAGACCTCGGGTGTGCGTGCTCAGCGTTGCTCAGTTACCCCACAAACACAAGTAGGGGGCCAGACCTCTCCATTATGTAGTAGTGCATATGAGTGACTCCTGGGACTCCAGTGAGATGCTGCATTCAAGCAAAGTGTCTGAATTTGCTCCTAACACCTCATAGCCAAAAGGAAATAAGGGGTACCCACCAGTGTACTCTTACAGTGTGTGATGACTTTGGGTTATACAAACGCTGCCCTTTCTTCCACCTGGAACAGCCAGAAAGGGATAGTGCTGCATCATGCGTCTCCTTTCTTCACTGCCAAATTTGAGAGATAAGCATGTGCTGTAACTTCGTAGATAGTACAGACAGAAAGCTGGCATGGGAGCTGCCCTCTTCTGAGTGAACTGCTTGTCTCTGTAAGGAAAGGAAAAAAGCATGTTAGATGCTTTCTGTTGTTTGTTATCATAGGGATCT